GTGGAGCAGATTTCGTTGCTTGGTTCAGCCAAAGTACCCTAGCGCGTAACGTCTTTAGTTGTATCCGCTGACGAAGTTTGATTGAAAAATGCCGATCCCAAAGGATAATTGCTCCGTCGAATGGCGATTTTGTCGGCATGTTTTTTCACTTTTGTTGCATGATCTGTCAGTGCAACGCATCCACGTGAGCCATAGTTAATTAAGTCACTACAATACACACAATAAGCTTTGCCTGCTACGTCAAAGCTTATTGTCCAAGAGCTTCTGTAACTTCGTCGAACTTGGAACCAATTTTAACCTTTACAGTGACTTTTCTGTCAAGCCAGTCCAATCGGAATTTATTCTTGACATTTGAGTCAATTTCTAGGATTTAAGACTCCTGATCTTTCGTCAAAAATTTCATAATTCCGCTCAAAACGATCCCAGAACAATGAATTTGCGAGACGAACGGGCCGCCATGAATCAGGTAAAACAATATGTTACATGCAATTTGATTGGTCCAATCGCTTGTGGTTAACCAATCGCTGGGCCGTTTATAATCGAGCTAAGACTTCCGCAACAAATAATGCCTTCAGTGATCTGATTAGTTGAAGCTTTCATACACGTCCAATCGCAGGGCTGTTTACAAACGGAAAACGGAGAGACTGTTCGGGAGAGCTCGTGAAAACTCGACGATAAGGTATCTGACCGCCCCTAAATTTTTCTCAACGGATTTAGACGATTCACAAAAATGATCAATTTAAGAAATAAAACGGCGGATTTCCGCGGATCCGCGGAAAATTGCCATGTATGTTGAGGGCAAAGTGGCAAGATGCTAGCCCAATCACATAAAAATTTAAAACAAAATTGGGGCCATAATTCCAAAAGAACACCTAGAGTGAAGCCTCATGCTTTGGGGCTGCTTTTCTTCAGCTGGAACTTAGGGGGCAGGAATTAAGAACAGTTAAGAGTCACTGTTAGCAAAAAAATCTGAGCAAAACATGTCAGGGAAAGCCTACTAGAACACCTGAGCTTTATTTGGGGTTAACCCAAGGCACTTTTGGGCGGAAGTTGTGCGCTGACTTCTATTTAACCCAGTGCACACGATCTTAGTTATATTTACGTACCGGCTCAATTTTTGTTACAATTACATTGGGCAGGATATTGGTCACAACAAATGGTTAAAATATTTCATCCTAAAATTCTGGAATTCGGAAAGACGTGTGTCGACTTTTTATCATCAATGGGTGGGTAGGTAGGGTTTGAAAAATAGGCGTGCTACGTCGATATGGTTGACAGAAATAAGAGTCAATGTCTTTCAAAGTTGTGATTTTTTTTTTATTGTTTGATATTTTGTTTCCATTTCAATGCAAGCATGAACCAATATTCAATATGAACTAATCATGGTGTTGAAGTGTTTCCATGTGACATGTACATCCATGTCATCCATTTTAAAATAAGACAATAGTGACACGCATATGACACAGAAGCTGGATTGTGTCTGCCTTTGTGATACTGGAGCCATGCACTTGATGCCACACAGATTTATATAGATATATAAATTTCTCCCCTGTATTACTTCTTCACCAACTGGATAACATCCTCGTCTTCCATCACGTGGTCCTTGCCCACCTTTTGAGGGTTGTGTTTGACAGACGATCCCCACACGAGCGCGCTGGAAAGAAGTTGATCAAATGAATCACGTGGGAGGGATGCAAGAAGTAAACGACAGCAAACGACAGCCCTCAGTGGCACAAAAGACTCTCTTCTAATGTGCTGTGACACCGCTTGGCCTCCGCCGCCTCCCCGGAGGATCGCTAATGCTCGGCAGCACTCATGTATTGACTGATGGACGACCCGGGCGCTCCCATTTGGAGACGGACCCCCGATCCAAAACGCTCGCAGTTAATATGTCTCTGCAGTATCTGCGCATAAAGTGGCTGGCGGCTCTAACTGGTTAAATGGGCTCTTTTAGAGGACAGTGATTCCTCGTTAGTGGTTACTTTGGGACTAGATTTTGCCTATATTTTACATAGAGCTTTGATACATTTTTCTTATAAATAGGATGAAAAGACAATGAGACTAAATCTTGCTAATGATGCACGAAAATCCTAATTTCACCAAAATCTCAAATGGCACTGACAAAAAAGAGAATGGAGTGCTCCAAAACTCACTATTTCAATTCCTTGATGAGGTTCTTGTGAATCTTCAAGCAGAAGTCCTCCACAGCGGTGTGTTGGTCGGGCAGGACGACGGGAGACGTGTAATCGGGGAGCTGGCCTTTGGGTTTGGTGTAGCTGCGCCAAGTCGACACATCATCACAACACAGGTCAGGCAAAACGGGACAATACGAAAAAAAAATACATGATCTGCAGTCTTCCGGCGCAGACTTACATCCGCACGAGCTTGAGGTAGTCCCACATTTTCTCCAGCAGGTCGTCGAAATTCCAGCGGTGGTGGGCCGAGATGGGCACGCAGTGCGGCACCTTGTAGATGACGTCGAGCTCCTCGATGGAGATCTGGTCAATTTTGTTCAGCACGTAAATGCAAGGGATGTAGACGCTGTGGGGAGCGCAGACAACCGTCACTCTGGGCCGAGCATACTGATGACTTATCAGAATTGTGGCCAGGCAAAAAACTAAACACATTTTTGTCTGGCCTTTTGGTCTGATAATTGGATCTTAAAAAAAAAAAAAAAAAAAAAAAAAAAAAAAAAAAAAAAAAACCTGCGATGGGCAAAATTAAAACCTGATAAGAGGTTATTTTCGCCACAAATGCATTTCGCCTCCATCCATTTCAACCACAAAGATGTTCACAATTTGTAAAAAAAAATAATAATAATAATGATAAAATTCTTAACCCACACATGATAATTATACGGATAATTGCAGAATGGCCTGTGGTGGACCGTGTGTTCTCCACCCTCTTGTAAAAGATTAGACCTGAATCCCTTTAGGACGACGTCCAACGTGCACGGCCAGCGTCAATGAAGCGAGACATTTGCCGAGTGGCCACGCCCCATAAGGGAACGACAAAAGAAAGGCGGCGGCGGCACGCCGTCCGTCTCACCGATTTCCCTCCACCACGTCGATGAGGTCATCCGCCGTGGCGTCGCTGCGGAGGGTGATGTCGGCATTGTGGATCTTGTACTCGGACAGGATGGTCTTCACCGTGTCGCCGTCGAGCTCGCTTTGCGCACACTGGAGAGCAGAACACACACACACACACACACACACACACACACACACACACACACACACTGTACCGTACTGGGTAGAAGAAAATGCCATTCATCATCACCCTCCGAAAATTATGGCCCATAATACTTTTTTTTTTCTTTTCAAAAATCACAAAACCTGAACGAAATTCTAACTAGATGATGTTAATGATTTCAGTTCATGTAGATATGAATAGAGAAGAATGATTTAGGGCATTGTTCTAAGAAGCTGTCGACATGCAAGATCAATTTAAATGTCCACTCGAGAGCGAGACTGCGAAATACACTTAAGTGGACACTTACAGTGGCGGTAAAGTTGATGCCGCCTTTGTCCTTCTTCTTGAAGCCGATGTTGGGCGGCTGCTTGTTCAGTCGGATGCCAAAGCCCTCCAGCTCGTGTTCTATTAGCCTCTTGTGCAAGAGAGGCTTCAGCACGTCGAGCACGATCAGGATGAGGTTGCAAGTTCGAGCCACTGGTGCAGAGAGTGGGGGGGGGGGGGACAGAGGAAAGCGTATGCATCAAGCTTAACTTGTACCGCTGATGGTGTTTGAACTATCAACCGGAAACAAAAAAGATGCCAGACTGCAGCAGTTGCAACGAATGGCCATCTTGTCTCGTGTGGTCTTATGGGTTGTCACGTGACTAGACGACTAGAATGGCATTTGAACTCATCTAGGAGCTGCAAGCGAACGACAGTTAACACAACCACCCGGGCCGCTATACATGTAAGCAAACTAAAAACTAAAACCATTCATCTTAATAAAATACATTGCCATAATGTCACATCATTTATCTGACACACTGTCTGCGCGAACAAGTTGGTGTTTTGGTGTTACCTGCAATAACTTGTCTGCCTCTGCCTTTGCCATCTTTGGCCCCTTCAATGATTCCAGGGAGATCCAGAAGCTTTCAGGAAACAGGGAGACAAAGTCTAAATAAAATCACCCATTGAAAACTGTCCATAGCTGCTCATCAGTTTTATTTGTCTTTTCATGTACCTGGATTTTGGCTCCTTTGTAGCGAATGACTCCCGGTACCGTTGTGAGGGTGGTGAACTCGTAGGCGGCGACCTCAGAGTAGACCCCCGCCAGGTTGCTCAGCAATGTCGACTTCCCCACTGAGGGAAAACCCACAAAGCCAACGCGAGCGTCGCCAGTTTTGGCGACGTCAAAACCTGAAAATAGAGACATAACATCAGAAAGTGAGAGTGACCACGTGGATATTCTAAATGTTGTCAACTATGTTGAATTGGATCCATTTAATGTTTTTTTTTTTTTTTTTTTAAATCCTGTCCCTACTTCAGTCATGTGTGATTAAACGCCATATCAATTCCATACTCGTTACCTTCTCCCGTGCCGCCACCGCTGCCTCCCTTTGGCGTGATGAGCTCCCGCCTTAGTTTGGCCAGACGTGCTTTGAGCAGGCCCAAGTGGTGAGCGGTGGCCTTGTTCCGCTGCGTCCTGGCCATCTACAACAAAGCATAGCAAGAACAGAAGCGCCAGCCCCCGTGAGGTCTCTAATGCCTGACAACAGTGGAACAAGCATAAGATTAGCATTAATATAAATTTCCAGAAAAGACTGAAATTGCTCGTCTTTGAACAAACAATATTTTAGAATCACACATTATTTTACATGGTGTTATTTTTTATTGTATTCTTATGTCATTATGTCTATTTGCGTTGAATTGTATGCTAATGTTCTACTGGTCTGGCCCACATTGAAGGGGAAAGCTTACAGTTTGAGATTTACATTTTGGAACACCAGTCTTGGATTTTTTTCTGACAAGATTAGTGAGAGCGCAATGCGGCACACCATACTGTTTTCCATTTGATTGGTTTGTATTTGCAGCCTTGATGTGTTTGTCCTACATTACTATAATTTTGATTTCATGATTTTACTACTGCGTTGTATATAAGGTGTCAGTAAACTACGATGAAGTGAAGGCAGGAGCTTCATTTCTATAGGCCGTACCGCGTCAAATCGGAACAGAATTTCTTTGCCACCATCTCGTGGCATTGACAGGAAATGCTGAAACTTTGGGGGGGACGGCAATTACTGGTAAGATTTTTGCTATCCGCAGTATGGCTCGGTTCGTAACCGCCGTAGAACTCATTGCCTATTGTACGAACAACTTGAGTCGAGAAGAAGGTATGTTTGTTCAAAGCTCTATTTGTTGTTATTTGGCGTATTCAATCAAAGTAGCAGATCCCGCTAGCGGTCCAGCATCAAGCAAACAATTGACAGGTAGAATACATTAAAACGAACGATAACGCTAAAACTTAACGATTAACGTTTACAGACAGAAAGAAAAGACAAAAGGCCGTCGTTAAAGAGCGACGTCATGAAACATACGGAACATCTGTGTGAGCGCGGCTAAATTCTGCTAGCATTCCAAGCTAGCCGTTAGCTACAACGGGACTCGGTTGATTCCGCGAGTGCCACGTTTCCTTCCAGGATTACCTCATTTTCAATCTCTGCTATTTTGGCGAGTATGCTCATGATGACCGAAGTTTGCGTCGCAGTTCCGTGTTCACGATAAACGTTGGAGAAATGACAAACAAACGTGGCTAAACTTTAAAAGGGCGTGCGACTAGCGCTTTGCTAGTTGCTACCACGCCGGTGTCAGCGTGCACTTCCTGGTGTAAATCTCGCGAGAATTCCAAAACTAACATTTCAGGGCTGGGTTTCGACTCGCAGGATGATCACGTGTTTCGTTTTAATGTAAAATTACAAAAAATAAGTCAAATCAGGATACAAATTTAGTCTAACCGACAGAGAAATCTATTATATATTATTAAAGAAATATATTTGAAACGGGCGCCACGGTGGTCGACTGGTTAGCATGTACGCCTCACAGTGCAGAGGTCCAGGGTTAAATTCTTGTTACGTCACACAGAATCGACCGCCATTCACGCTGTCACTGAATGGGAAATGAATCCACGTTGCCAGCAAAGAAGCCAAGCTAGTATACCACTACACAATATTGACTCTATTGAATCAGTGCATACAAAAAATACACCTATTTATGTAATATACATTCAGATTTGTCTAATAAGTCATATATTTTCTCTCCCGACAGCTGTCATGGCGTTCGCAGATGTGATAATAATGTGTTGCGTTGTGTGAATTGAAATCAGACACAAACCAAAATTGGTTATCAGCCACGTTTATCATTTCTGCTCTCGAATACACCTCAGCGAAACCATTTCCTGTAAAAATAAATGCAATTTGAATGACGATGTCATTGGAAAAACAAAAACAGGTCCATAATTACATTCTGTAAAGAACCTCGCAGATTTCACATTTCATACTCAATAAATATGTATGTACTCCATTCTGATGAGTCTAACACCACATGCTTGGTATGCTGAATCTGTTTGTGCCCAGATCCCTGTTGCTGTTCATTATTACACTGTAGTAGGTGTGCTTGTCCTCATCAAAATATACAAAAATAGTACTTTTCTATAAGGTAGATACGGTATTCAGCGAGTTACTTCTGCATCACCTGTCGTCCAGCTGAGTGTGAGGAGCACACGAAGGAAGAAAGAGGAGGACGTGGAAGTGAAACACAGCAAGACAAGACAAGATTCATTATTACTGAGTTTGTGACATCTGTACTGTATAGATATGTAACTTTAGCTCGTGTAACAAAAACGGGGGCGGGGTAGGGGGCTTGAGGGTGACTTTGTCTTCATTCATCCACCCTTGCCATCACTCAAAATCTTCTTTCATGAGAATACATCACCAAACATCAGTCATGAATGAAGTGCATCGATTAATACAATTTTGTGCAGTCAGAGACAAATGCATTCACTTTGGCGGGAGGATTTTGACTAACTACTGCTGTACATGCGCACTAATAACCGGACCACGTTTGTGAATTTCTTCCTCTCTTTCGATCAAAGTCTGCAAAGGCCCAGTTGTCAGTTGTCACTAATGTTACGCTTCACGTCATAGTCAGGATGTGCGGATTTGCCATCCATAAAAAAATCACCCTTAACACAACACACACGACGGGATAGTCCTGTCATTTATCTGCGAATCGGGCCTTTATGGATTTTGATCACACCGGTGGAGAAATGCGGCAATTTGCTCCGATTGTCCGTATGCGTGTACCTCACTTTGGGTATTAAAAATCAGTCAGTGAAAACTCATTTTAATTTGCACACTTCTACCTTCTTCCCAAAACTCATTTTTGTGCATCCAGATCAGTACTTTTTACCCCAAAGGTTATCTCAATGAATAGCAACCACTTCTCTTTTACTCGGTCGTTCAGTGATATTTGATCAAATATTTGTGTGGGAACATGCTCATATTCATGAATATATATCAAGAAAGTGCAAGATAAATGCCAAAACCATCAGTGGGAATCGGCGTGAAATAATTTGATCATACAAAGGAAGGAAGGAAATGAAATACGGTTCATCCATCTGCAACACGGCTCGGGGTCGCGTTGGGCATCAGCCACCGTGACGCTCTTTTGCTTATTTGCTTGTCATCACTTGGAACGCGCTCCCCTCGGTTTCCATTCTGTATTTCTGGAACGTCGCCAGAGGATCTTATTATTGCGTGGATTGTGTTATTGCGTGCCGCACCCCATCCGAACTTGATCACAATAAAACGCCCTAGTGTGGTTAATTATGCTCCTGGTGTAATTGGGGCTGCGTGTAAAGTCATATTAATTCCACCATTTTTCTGTGCGTATGCTGTATTGTCTATTGTATAAAGTTCAGTGAATCTCTATGTATTCACTCAAACGTTTTTTTATGAAGGAAACCACACAGCCCAAATTACAGCATTGGATGTTCTTAAGATCTCCATCGTGTTGAGAGACTAACAAGTCAATCGACTGCGCGCCCGGTTGCAGATGAATACACCACAAACTAATTGTGAAATTTTTCAAGACCGAAATGAATAAAAAAAAACTCAAGTTTCAGATCTTCGCTGTCACAGGAGTGACTGACCAACCTGGGTTTACTCGCCGCGGAAAAATAATTTCTTACTGGTGAGTGAAGAAGTGTCAGAAGTAGTTCCGAGTTGCGAGAAAAGAAACTAAGATATTTGGTTCAAATTGGGCAACGTATATTTCATCTCTGTTGACATCTTCAGAATGTCATTCTCAGTACAGTGAACCCCCACAAATACTTGCTTTGGCCTGAGTATTACAAAAAACAAAAAAAACAGCAAATAGGTGAGTTTTTCGGCAGATAACAGAAGATACATTGCCTCAAACCAACCGTGAATAGGTTCATTTGAGAGTGCCGATCTGCGAATTTGCAGGAGTTCTCTGTACTCGGCCTTATATTTAAGACTTAAGACTTTGGTGGGCAGATACAATCGAGGAGTTGGCTCTGGGTATGACTCCACTTCTGCACGCCTCCGTTCTACAGGCCCACTGATGTCGATGCCGTACGTAAAAGATGACACTTGCTTGGATTTGCCTCCCGCTGTCACTTCTGTCCTGTCCGGCTCAAACTTTCCCGCTCAATATCATTTTCCAGCGAGAAGCACTATTTTAGTGCAGTAGTTTCCCACTTGATGACAGGCCTTGACTGAGGGAAGCGCCATGCCAACACTGAGGTAATAGAAAGCAAAACTTTTTTAAAAAACTGCATGTATCCACTACGATTGGATTCTGTCATCAGAATTGGGATAATACATAATTGAAGCCATAAGGCTTTAAGATAAATGCAACTTGGCCATATGATGGCAAAAGTCTTGAATGGAGGCCTTCCCTTGGGACCCTAGCTGCTCTCGGAGGAGGTGGGCGGCGCCGTGGAGGCCGAGCGCCGCCGCGCCGCCGACTGCGAGCGTTCGGGGCTGTGTTTGTCGTAAGGCTGCAGCTGCACCTCCAGGAAGTCCCTGTGCTGCTGGCTGATCACCTGGCTGATGAGCGCAGGCAGAGCCTGCAGGTTGCTCAGCAGAGTCTCGAGCTTGGTCTCCAGCAAGGCGATCCTCTTCTCCATGTCCTCTCCCCGCTCGTTCAAGTCCGACACCATGTCGTACATGATGTTCTGAGTCTGGGACAAGGCAGAGGAAAACACAGCATGAGCCTCACTGCGATGCTTTTCCCGTTCCTCACTCGCTTTGCGCTTTATGAATGAGACTTCAAGGCAGCTGGCGGAACACGGATTTCTGAAAAGGGAAATAAGAATATTTAGGCTGCCATTGTGATGCCATAATCGCTGTCGCAAATCAAAGAAATTCTACCTGCAAGACTCAGGCCCCACCCCTGACAGGTGTACCCTTCAGAAGCAGGCGGCAGCATATTTGCTGGAGGAGACACGGGCCACAAGGGCTCCAGTTCTCTGAGCGGGTACTCATGTTTTAAGCATATTAGCCGACTTTTCAAGAAAAAGGTGACACCGACTTTTGCTGCATGCCTGGTGCACCTGAGCACACAACTTTATAACCCCCTTCCCCAAAAAAAAGGTTAAAAAAAACAAAACAAAAGGACTGTTGATGAAGCGGAGCGGCATCTGTAAAGCTTGACTTTAAAGAAAAGCGATGGAGAAAGCACTGCTGTATGCAATGTGGAGAAGAAAGATTTTAAACAGATCATTATTGCACCCCCCCAAAAAATATGGATTGAAAAAACAAACAAACAAAAAATGAGCACATCACTGCTGACAAGAGAAAGCACTTCGCGGGAGGAGGACAAAGAATGTTAGCAAGGAGCCGGAAAGAAAGACCGACTTTTTTTTTTCTAATGCAGAATACAGGATCTGTCTTAGCTCAACAAAGGTTGGGAAACACTCCTCTGGAGACACAAGTGAATGAGTTATTTTTTCATTTCTTTTGAAAATAAAAATAAAAATCGGGGCGGAAAAGTGCGATATAACGCGTAGCTCATAATGGGAGGCGACGCAAATGGTACCGCGAGGGGCTGCTTGCATCTACACTGCCCTCTTGCGGCGACGCACACTTACTACAAAGGGGCCAGCAACCAGCTGCTGTGTGCAATAAAAGCCATCTTGCAGCTTTTTATTTTTATACAGCGTGATCCATCGCCAAATATTACACTTCATGACACGCTGGCCCTGATCCAGTTTGACTCCAGTGTTCTTTTGAATGTTAAACACTCTCCCCTCGTTTGCTTTCTGCGCACGCGCGTGTGTGCGTGTGAATCATCTGAACACAGAAAGTCTCTCTCCCAAGTTACTGGCTCTGCTGTGTCAGGTTGGCCCACCGCCCGGTCTTTGCCTTAAAGTTTCTGTTTAGCGCAACTGGAGAGAAACTTTTTCCTTTGCAACCCCCCCCCCCCCCCACACCCCCCCAAGGGGGCCTTGTTGTAAAA